GGGGATTTCACGTCTTGTGGAGCCCAAAGATATCACACTGACGATCTCGGGATCGCTGTCATGGCGAGATCTGGCTGGACTGCGCATGGTCTGGTCGTAACGTACAGGGCTTAGACTGCGGACGTATGGGTCATCGACGTCGTACCGAGAAGGGCTGTGATGTCCCCGAAAAAAGCGTGTTGCTTGCTGGTCATCGAAGCGAACAGGGCTCATGCTCCTCAGAGTTCTCTGTCGGTCCAGACGGTCGAATCGTGAGGTACCCTGTTGGTGGTAGACGCCGATACCTGAGAGATGGAACATTTAGAATGTATGTAAAGTGAAGCATTAGAAAATATTATAAGGGAAACATTTGATTTACCTGTACAGTGAAACAATTGAAATACTTGTAAGCTGAAACGTGAAACAATTGTCTTCTGGACAATTTGAAATGGCCAAAGTCTTTCGGGAGCAACGGTAGCTCAGTGTTTAGTCGATTGCTGCTGGCCTGAAGGTTTTTGTTTTTAATCCCCTTTAGAGCAGGGATTAATTAACAAGGATCAATGCTTCCAGTCTGATTCAGAACAAACAAGTACCAGAAAATGTAATGGGAAGCAAATGCCACCAGCATGTTTTTGACTATATCGCTGGTCAAATGACAATTAGTTTATTAAAAATATGAGTCAAGTACCACAAGGTGGATGCACAGTGTCGAGACATAAAGGTTCTTTACTTGCATAAAATGTACAGCCCATCTTTACCACTTATCAACATTACGCTGAGAAACGATCTCATTGCACTCAATGGACATCTAAACAGAATACAGCACCCTCCAGAGTGCCAGCTATATAACTACCCTTACGAAATTCTGGACCATAATCTCTTTGAGTGCTCCAAACTCAGCGGGACTAGAAGAATGCTACTCCCTGCCAGACCAGACAAGTGAACACCTTGTACGGAGGAAAAGAACAGCTTGTGAAAACATGTAAATTCCACTACATGGCATTGGACCAATGGGCAAAAAATCATGCGCCGCTGGATCGATAACAACAAAACAAACAATCATGCATTTTTCATCAGTATACGTAATTCCTAGAAAATCTGTAAAGCTTTTGTTTCCCTACTCCCCTAATGGTTCCAGCTTGGGTTTCAAATCCTCACTGAGGTGGGGTGGGGGGGGGGACGGCAGACGGCAGACCCACAGCCCCCTAATAAACATTTTGTAAGAGTCGACTAATTAGGTGTGTTTTCTTCGAAGGCCAGAAAGTATCTGCCTGAGAAGCGAGGAACCAACAGTCTGCTTTAAAATAATTCGATCTGTAAAACAGATGTGCACTCAAAACTCAAGTTCTGGTACAAGATAAAAATCCAAAAGTAGACGTACAATCATAACTTTCGGCCAGAGTTTACAGCGTGTGAACGCAAAGAAGAAGAAGAAAAATATAAAAGAAAAAAGAAACCTCTCAACTACGAAAACTGACAAGAAATGGCAGAACCTGCGGAATGGAATGATAAATAACCTTGACGATCAGACTAAAGACTGAGGTGCAGTTCGGGATAACTGACGTTTAAATAAGGTTACGCACTGTGCGCCGTTTCATTCGTAAATTTTGGGACTGCTCTGGAGCATAAGGGTGTGAGGTAATTCTAGGTTTTTTCGGGGACACCACCGACAATGTGCGATGTTGGGTGTGTGTCGGTGTTCATTGTGCCGCCGTTCTGTGAGCAAGGCACTGAGTCGCAGTTCGCTCGCTTGACACAGGCAGATGTCCCGGAATAGACTCACTCACACCCCTGTGACCCAGAAGGTTCCAAGAAGCTATGAATGAAAGGTCAACGTCACGGTTACCGTGAACAGCACCAAGACTGACATACTTCACGATGATAACCAAATGTTAAAAATTACCTCCATAATCTCCGGAACTGGGACGTCTGCTGTCTATAAATGTCAGGCGACCTGTATGTTCAGACAGACTTTGTCTGGCGCCAATATCAGCAAGACTTTGCCTGCCAATCTGATCTGGCCGTCCGTCGGTGATGCTTGGACGTCGCAGTGACTCGGTCATTCTGGCTGCTAGTTCGCCTAATCAGAAACCATTTACAGAAACATGAACGCCGAGCACAGACAATCAAATTGTTGTTTTCTTTCATTTCCACCATTTTGACCAAATGGGAATTTGAAGAGATCCACTACAAAGTAGGGAGCCCGACACTGGGATTTCAGGCACCCTGAAGAATCCCTTCGTTTAGAAAATGTGTAGGTCAGTTCAGCGGCCACAACATAGCTACCTGTGAAAGCACCCTTTTCGAGTATATCTTGACGGATTATGTATACTCAATCTACGCACGGGACAGCAGGTTACCTTCAGCTGGAATCTTTGTTATGGATGGCCCAATTAATTATAAATTTTTTGCATGTTGAACCGGATATCTCCAATCTGCCATTTTTGTCTGCCACCCAAAGTAAGATTTTTTTCACGTTATGATATCACAACGTCTAGTTTGACAATGGAGGTGGAGGTAGTCTTTGCTGCCTTCTGCTGGCTTGAGAATCAGCTGTACACACATGCTTTGATTGTAACTGACTCACATAGCATTTTGCGAAAGGTGAAGACAGACAAGCTTCACTTCAGAGGACTTGGGTAGATGGCATCCTTTAGATATTTTCTCCAGGTCATGCAGGTGTTGGGGGATATGAGCAGGTAGAAACACTGGCCGGCTCTGTGCCACCTGGTGGTGAAGTCATGTATGACAAGTTAGATATTGTGAGGGCCCTTTGGGAACGTGTGAACAGTCCGGACGCGAAGATAGATCATTACGGTCTGGGAAGAATGGCGCTAGGAGTTACCAGGTTATGTACCCGACACTCAACACTCAAAGGAAGGAGGAGACGGATATACAATCAGACGGTTACTGGTGCCATCGGAATTGGAACTCTTCGCTTGCTGCTGAAGATGGAGAAGGAACACTTTTGGAAGTGCCCCGACTGCTGTGATATCGATTCTTAATTCAAAATTCAACATTTAAAACATCCCGAGAAAATGAAAATTGGGTTCTTCGAATGAACGTAATAATTTTCTCGTTATTTTGTGTGTGTCCACGTATATTCATTACGGGAGACGCCGTGGTGTCGCGGCTCGACGCTCGCTTACAGATCCGAAGGTTGTGGGTTCAAATCTGCAAGATGCCGGATTGTTTTCAAGCTTGACGTTGGCTGCCATGTCGACCTTGCTACAAATAGGTACCAGGTAAAGTCCTGGAAAGTAAAGCGGCCGGCGAGATGTTGACCTCAACATCCAAGAAGGGCCGCAGATTGGTCTATACAAAGGAGTCCAGCACGATATGCCCAATGCGACTCTTAGGTGTAAAGGGACCAATATTTTTTAAACTTTTCATTACATTGTTTTATCAATACATGGTGTTATTATTTTATGAAACTATGTGTCTGGAGCTTCTACATAATTATTTACCAATTGATGACTACATAAGATTGAAAAGTCCTTTTCAGCCACAGTTGCATATGTGCAGTGTGTGTGTGTGTGTGTGTGTGTGTGTGTGTGTTTATGTTTATGTGTATGAGTCTGCCCGCGCGTGTGTGTGTGTTTGTATCATTTGTATGTCCCCCCCCCCCCCAAATCTTTTTTTTTCTCAATCTCTAAAATAATTTCACTGCAAAACAAATTTTTAAAACGAATTTAATACTTAAAACGAAAAAATAATTCCACGGAGTTAAAACAATGCAGAAACTATATATATATATATATATATATATATATATATATATATATATATATATATATATATATATATATATATATATATATATATATATATACATACATACATAATATTATAGTACGAGGGCTTAACACAACAACTGTCTAGAAAAGAACATGGGAAAATTTCATGAAGTTTACAGTAATAAAGATTTTATAATTTATTTTCCACCTCTCCGGGCTTGCAGCCTAAAAGGTTTACACCCACCGCCTCAAGGATTCACTTGGCGGGTGGAATCGAAAAACAGGAAATTATAGAAACCCTTCTCAAACATCTAACACATTTATATATATAAGGATGCTGGATGGTTACGAAGTACCCTGTAATAAAATGACTACATGTAGCTACTACAAGTAGTTACTACAAGTATTTACTACAAGTATTTATTGCAAGTAGTTTGACTGTAGAGGTGATGGCGGTAACAAAAGCGGCTAGAGAAACAGCATTTTCCCGTGCATGCTTTCTAAGTGATTCCATGAACATGCTTAAGAAGACAGAGACAGGATGGATTCGAAGAAAGTGGTTGGAGTCGCTGAGGATATCTTGTCCGAAAAAGAAATTAGTTTCATTTTTGTAACAGGATACCCTGTGGTGAGAGGGAATGAACAAGAGGGCTGGCTTGCTGGCAGGTAGGTAAAGGAAAAGCAATGGACCGGGCTGGCAGGTAGGTACAGGAAAAGCAATGGACCGGGCCGACATTCTTAATGCTCTCACAGAGGCAGGACGAGAAGATGATTCTGGAGATGACGTTGAATCGGCGTCACTCAAAAGACTACAAGATCTTCAGGTCAAAAGAGGTGTCGCCAAACATGAACACTATACAGGTAGCCAAAGAGAAATAGTAAACCGATTCTAAACTGGTATTATCAGTCGCCACTGGCTGAGGGATACACTGAAAATGGGAACCTAGCGTTTATGTCCTATAGACAGTGAGGATAATCTGTCCATTAACTAACTAACTAGCTAATATAAGTTACAATCACAGTCCAATTACTGCCTTTGTTATACCACTTTTGCGGTGTATGCAAAGGGGGGGGGGGGGGTGTCTTTGAGCATGAGAATTTATGGCCGCATGCTAGTACTGTCGCAATGACTGTGCAGGTGAGGATTTTATTTTGCCCCCAACAGAAAATATCCCCAGCCTTACTACGGATTCGAACCCGGTCTCCCGCTTGAGAACCCAGCGTTCTAACCGTTTGGCCAGCCGCTCCTACCATTGAGACTAAGGAAGATGACATTTTTCTTACCAATAGAAGGCCTTCCTTGAGAACTGTAGTCCCCATAACTCTGCCGTCGGTGTCCCTGACTGAACGGAGGCAGTGGACTCAGCTGCAACATCCTAGGATCCTCCCCAGATGTTGTCATGACGTTGGGCTCCGGCTCTAACGGGCCTGGCAGATGAGCTCGTCTTCGGAAGGATGACAGACGATATTTCTGTTCCCACTGCTTTTGTTTTAACCTTTCTTCGCGCCTTTTTCTCTCCAGTTCCTGAAACATTAACAATTTCACAGACGTTGTTAATATGGTCGTGCTTTAGAAAGGTTTGTCGAAAATGATATAGAGGAACGCAGTAAGAAAAGATTCCTGAAAGCATTTCCTCATCGTCTTCTTCGGCATTCTTAGCCCTTGAGGCTCATTGCTGCAGATATCACCCGCCCCCATTCATCCCATTGGTCGGTCTTCTTTTTCCAGTTGATGAGACCAACATTTTCAAGTTCTGCATGTATATTATCTCTCTGTTGTCTTCATGATTGTCTCGAGGTCTACGATCACTCAGCTCCCTTGTGTCTACAGTTTTTACCTCTCTGTCATCTGGTATTCTCTCACAATTCCCCAGCCATTTCATTCTATCAGTATTCGTGGTGTCAGTGATCAACGGTGATTTAAAGATATTATGAATTTCATTACTGCTTCTCATTCTCCATTTCCCAGCCGTCTACATCTCTGGCTGGTCCAAAGATTCGTCGTAAGACTGTTCTCAAAAATGTATAAATAGGCTTCATTTTTTAAAATTATGCTCCAAGTTTCACATCCAATTAGAACGACTGGTCTTATAAGTAAAATATATATATATATATATATATATATATATATATATATATATATATATATATATATATATATATATTATATATATATATATATATATATATATATATATATATATATATATATATATATATATATATATATATATATATATAAAATGATCAGGGTGTTACGAGAAGAGACTGTGATTTCAACAGATATCATAGGGCATGATATTGAAAAATAGTGGCACATGAAATAATACAATCTGTAGAGAATGATGATTGTTCAAGTTGACAGGATGATTGTGGTGGATGCAGTTTACCGGTACCATATAAACAATTCTACTAGCATAAGGCTGAACTGAGAAAAAAAAAAAAGGATTGAAAGACTTTGTCTGGCTGATGTAAGCCTCTCATATCCTTGGTTTACTGAAATCAAATATCGATAATACTCATAATTTTAAATACAAGGTCTACCATTATGTAATCAGGTAATCCATCTTCAAAGCAAACGGGTCACCCCCACCCCTCCCTGGCTGCCCCATTCCTGTGCTAACGAAGACCACACAGAATTTCCATCACTGTTTCTTATTTAAAAAAAAAAAAAAATGGACACAGACTGCATATAGTCTTAGCAAATCCAGCAGCCTTCATGCGTATTAAATGCACAAGACAGCAGTCAGAGGTGCCAACACAAACAGTCCTAAACTAGAAATGCCGTTTGTCGTTGATGGAAGCAGCTGTTATAATAGATATGTAACTGAAAACGCATTAACTGCATAAGGCACCGCACTTTCTCTGGCAACACGGCAGTCGCCTTTTTTTGAATTTGTAGTATACAGCAAAAAAAAAAAAAAAAAAAACCATCTACTATTAGGTGGGGTACAGTTTTTTTTTTCCTTCTTAACTGTTTCTTATTTAATTGTCGTTTCAGGTTTTATCTTTATTTTGTTGCCAGGTCTCATTTTACTTTTGGTGTCAGGTCTTATTTAATTTTTGGTGTCAGGTCTTATTTCAGTTTTGGTGTCAGGTCTTATTTCATTTTTGTTGTCAGGTCTTATTTCATTTTTGGTGTCAGGTCTTATTTCATTATTGGTGTCAGGTCTTATTTTGTTTTTGGTGTCAGAGCTTATTTTATTTTTGATGTCAGGTCTTATGTAATTTTTGGTGTCAGGTCTTATTTCATTTTCGGTGTCAGGTTTTTTTCATTTTTGGCGCCAGGTCTTATTTCAGTTTTGTTGTCATGCCGTATTTCCTTTTTGGTGTCAGAGACTTTCGGAATCGTAAAGTAAACCTTGTCTCACGCTAAGGGCGCATCGGTTATATGATGCTACATTTATTTTAGTGGCCAATCGATCCCCGTTGTGTGATGTGGCCAACGTCACACCTGCCGCCTTTACTTCCCAAGGCACTGACGCCCATTTTATTCTGGGTCAAATGCATGTACACACTCACAAGCATGCATGTGTACATACATAATCGTACACGCGCGCTCACATATAAGCAAGACACATGTACACATTTAACAAAGACACACACAACAAAATCTGCTTGCATAGACACACAACGGCATACAATACACAAGGAACGAGCTGGTTACCTCAACACGCTGTTTCTCCACAATGGAAGTGACTTGACCTAGAAGATCGTCCAGTTTGGTCTCTGTAGCATCCTTACCCATGGCAGACAAGGACAGTGCTCGGTCCAGTGGAAAGAAATCGTAATTCTCCTTTCCAAGCTGAAATGAGACACTCTCTCGACTCAATGCACTGCGTTGGTTTATATATAAAGGGGATGACATACTTTGTTTCTCACATACAAGGTAAAATGTAAAGTTAAACAAAAAGCATATTCCACGCCTTCATATGTATTGGGCATATAGGGCTAGACCTATATTTGATGCACCAATCGTAACAGGGTGGGTGATGTGGTCAGCATCACACCGACCGCCTTTACTTCCCAGGACTCCTCCTGGTACAAATTAAAGGCCACTTGCAAATTACTAAAGAATAAAATGTATAGGCAGTGTCCTAAGTTGTTCACATATACAGTATGAAAGAATACATTATATGTGTAAACAACGTCTTAATAACAATTGCAGCAGAATAAACAACAGGCAAATGAACAACAATATTAGTATGAATAATACCAGAAGCAGTAGGGTAATTTAAAACAACAGCGAAAGCAGCAACGAAAACAAAACAAAAACAGGTCCGAACTCGCACTCGAACCCCCGCAGCAGCAACAGTAGCGGGAATAATAAAAGCAGCAATGACATGGCTAAAACAGATTACGTGAAGAACATTGTCAGTTGGATGCAGAAACGCTAAATCACACATGGTGGTACGTCAGATCAAGGATGGCTGGTGTCTTGACCTCTCGGTAGTCATCAAAGAAACAGATTCCAAAAGGCGCACCTGGAAATCATAGAGAGAATAGATGTTTCCTTTCCGCACTGCATGCGCATGAGAAGTGAGGATCCAACAGTTTCCATAAAAAGGCTAGATCTGTAAAATGGTTGTGCACACAAAACCCAAGTCCCGAATAAGATTAAAGTCAAGAAGTGGACGACCAGCCAGGACTTTCCGCCTGAGTTTACACCCTTTGAATGCAAAGACGAAGAATAAGACGAAGAAGAGGAAGAAGAAGAAGAAGAAGAAGAAGAACAAGAAGAACAAGAAGAACAAGAAGAAGAAAAAAAATAATTAGAAGAAGAAGAAGATGGAGGAGTTGGAGGAGGTTGGAAATGAATGAAAACAACTGTATAAAATAACAGGAACAAGAACAGCAGCGGGGATAATAAAAACTACAATAACAAGAATAACAAAAATAGCAGCAGATAGAACAACACAATAACAACCCGAAGAAAAACATGAACAGTTACAACAACAAGAATAACAAAAGCAGCATCAGCAGCAGCAACAACAGACGGCGAAACAACAACATCAATCAGGACAGCACACGAATGGACTCACTAGCTTGAAGACATACATCTCCAGAGCCGTGTAATCATTAACTTTGGTCCCGTTGAGGTGGATGAAGAAGAAAATGTAGGACCACATGTTGTGTTCGTGGCGGACATGGTGATCAAAGCCCTAGAGAAAAACAAACACAATTGCAATTTTACCAGCTGCAATCTAATAACTGTCATGATATATGTCTGCTGTCTTTCCTTGTTGGCACCTTTCCAGGACGATAGTGTTATATTGCGCTATGGGGAGGTTTAGGAGAAAACAATTGCCAAACTACTAGTTTTACATTGTTATACTTTCATGACCCAAAAAAAAAAAAAATTAATCTGACCAGTTTCAGTGATAAGTAAGAAGAACTCCACAGGGGAGAATGTACAGCAGGAGTCCACCGATCATTAATAGAAGATCCCTCGTCGAAAATTATTTCGGCCTATAACCTCCTAGACAATTTCAGAGGGTGGGTCGATCTTAGCCAGGCCTCGATCTTCTGCTGCTGCACCTTACTGAATGTTCTCGGACAGGGACAAGACGAAATAGTGTCTATGCAACGGGTACTGAAATTATAGTCCTAATGACAAACTATGATTATCTTTTAGTAAAGGTCCCTTTCCTACGCCGTCAGAAGTATAAGGCATATAGGGCTAGATGTAAATTGTAATGATCAATCGGCACTCGGGGGTGATTTGGTCAAAATCACGTCAGACGTCTTTACTTCCCACGACTTTACAGGTACCAATTTTAGGTCGAACTGACATGAAAGCCAATGTCATTTCTGGAAAAAAAAAATAGTCCCACTCTGTAGGACCTGAAACCACAACAGTCGAATCCGCCGGGAAGCGACTAGCCGGTACACCATGACGTATTTTCTAGGCTGTAACAATATTACGGCGCTCATGACAAGTAATGTAAACATTACCGGTAGCAGGGATAGCACAAGTTTCATGATATCAGACCAGAGTAAAGAAGGGTCTGGAAAGGGAGGGGGGGGGGGGGGGCTGAGATAGAGGGTGGGGAGGAGGGAGGGTGAGGAGGGGGTGTGAAAGGAAAGAAAGCATGAAAGGGAAACCTATAGGATAGAGGGCCTCAAGGAGTAACTGGTTTAAGTGCGTAATAATATCAATACTAATAATAAGAAGGGAGCAGTAGTAGATGACAAAATAGATACAAATGTGGCATGGGATAGTTGTATGGCCAACACCATTACGAGGTATAGGATCAGAACTATGTATTGTAAAGGTATTTTCAAACATCAAAATTTTATTACGAAGGTTTCGATGCAGTGTGTGAGGGCCGGTATTCTAAACTTACGATGCCCTCGTCCTCTTAGCTGACCAGTTGAAATAATTGTCCTTAAGTATACAGACATGTGGCAGCCGCCACGGTATAGCGGCTTGACGCTTGACTGCGGATCGAGAGGTCGTTGGTTCAAATCCAGATGGAGCCGGACCTTTTATTTCTCCAGAAATAACCTTGGCTCCTAGGTCCACTAAGCGTTAAATGGGTACCAGACGGAGTCATGGGAAGTAAAGGTGGGCCGCGTGATGTTGACCACACAGTTCATCGAGTGCCTATTGGTCTGAAAATACATTTCCAGCACAATATACCCCTTTACGCCAGAAGCCGTGGAAAAACAGTCCTTTTATACAGACATATAAGCAGTGATACCGGAATATGGGATCTCAGTCTAAGGACGTACCTCTATTCCTAAATCCGTATTTCTCCACCCACCTTCTTAATGTCGCAACCCTTTAATATAGTTCCTTGTGTTGTGGCGACATTAAAAAATACAGGTATTTTCGTTACTACTTAAAAAATGCAATGAAAATGTGTTTTCCGATCGTCTTAGGCGACCCCTGTGAAAAGGTCGTTCGACCCCCCCCCCAAAAAAAAAGGGCTGCGACCCACAAGTTAAAAACAGCTGCCCTAAATTTTAAGGTGGACTTAATTTCATGGTTAGTTCGACGTTAGTCTCCCCAAATAGAGTAGGTAACTTTTCATGAAAGAGAATGCCTGTGACATAGGTTGCAGCACTCTCTATGGGGGTTGTGTTAGACCCAGTCTGTCCATGTTTTTGGAGTGTTAAAAACTCTGGCGTGCTGAAATACACGCGATATCAACGGCATTGCGGAACACCCCTGTAACCGTGTGAGAAGGTCACGGGGCTCAGGAACTAAAAAACAGAAGTGAGCTAGTGTGCATATGGGTGGGGTATGGAAAGACTAACGTCGGCCTAATCAATTCCATCAATCAAATCTGTTACGGAGACAGAGCTCACCCCCCCCCCCCCCCCCATTCCATCAATCAAATCTGTTACGGAGACAGAGCTCCCTCCTTCCCCCACCCAAACATGTATACTATTTATTTTTCAAGTCTTTGTTTAGTGGTATAATATTATATCACATATAAGTGGCTGAGCAAGGTAGGATGGTACCCATGTGGAAAATGCTCAGTCAACAACCCTCCCCCAACCCTCCCCCCTCTCACCTCCCACACAACATACAACATATCTTGAAAACACATATTGTTGCCATTTTGTCCCCCTTCCTTCAGGTTAGTGATGTACACAAATCAATGGGGAAGTACTGTGTACAAGGAGTTACCTTTCCGTGATGCTCGAAATCATAGGAGTTTCTGCTGCAGATAAAGCAGGTATCTCGCATGTCAGACTCGGCTGTCCACTGCAACAGACACAAAGTATCATTTTCCATTTGGTCAGTAACTTAATTGGTTATGAAGAGATTTATGTTCTGTTTAACTGTGTGCTTAACTAATCGTCATCAGTCATCAGTCATCAGTTCTCGTAATGCCTAGTGGCACATGAGGCTTCAGAGAGGACTTTCCACGCTTTCCTGTCCTGTGCAATCTTCAGTGCAGTTTTCCATGTCAAAGATGCCGCACTCAGGTCACTTTCCATCGTTGTTTTTAGGCGATCCTGTTTTCTCTTTCCCTCTGGTGTCCATGTGAGAGCTGTTTTGGCAGGTATATCAGGATTCATTCGCATAACGTGGCCAAGCCATTTCCATCTTTTCTTGGTAATCATACTGTCTAAAGCTTAACTAATCGGTGCTTTGTATATCTGTTCATTATTCGACATCATTATCATCATAATCATTATCCTCGACAAAGCAATATGATACCCACGGAGAGATTTGGACTGCACGATAGCTTTCCTAAAAGCTGTTTGCCTCTTGACATAAGGTTCTTCGACAGAAGGATCGACGTGGAAGCAGAGTATCATTATTAACTTCCAATTCTGCCATCAAACGACGTAGGGATGGAGTAGTTTGCAGCCTTCACCAATCCATCTTCTCATCGAGTGCCCTCATGATTTCATTAAATATATTATTAAATAGTAAACAGTGATAATAAACAGTATTAATAAACAGGAAACAGGAATAATAAACAGTAAAAAGTAATAAAAACAGTAAACAGTAATAATAAACAGTAAGATAATTCATTTTTATCTGGCAATAAAACGTGTTAAGCTGGCCGCTTTCCTCAGACATCTCATGTCACAGGTATTACTTTTATCTAGGCGAACCATTGATAATTTACACTGGTATCACATTGTTGGTGTGCATATGCTCTTTATAAAATCTTTTTTGAAGGATTTATTTATGTTTGGATGTCCTAATAACGGCGCCAGTTAGTGTAGAAGTGCCTTTCGCTATTTTAAACTTAGTTGCGTTTCCTGTACAAGACGTTGCAGAACTAACCACAGCATTGTTTGACTGTTGCGATTTTTCTAGGCACATTTACATCCGCTAGTTTGCCATTGCTTTCGGGAAGGTGAGCTTCTGAATACCACTGTCAAAACCAACGCAAGGCGCAAGCCCAGCAGCTGGGACCGAACCTGGCATCCCGGCATTACGAAGCGCGTTCGCAACGCCGAAGCCACAATCGCCGCTTTTCACGAACACAATCGCAAAATGATCCCTTCTTGAAAATGAATGTTATTGCGTAATCTTATACTTTAAAGAACTGACATTACACCATTAGGAACATTATCGTCCCCTCCCCATATTTAGCTGTCTGCACAGAGTTACAATTCAGATCGTACCAAACGCAGTATTTTTGTATGTCCGTCTTGCCTTTCCTCTGATCGTTGAGTGTCAACCGGAGCCCATCTTACGCTGCACGATTTTCTTCAGACCCGTCATCTACGTGTGCCTCCGCACCGTTCACTCGCTCCGAAAGGGCCTCGATATAAAATATCTTAAAGACGTAATAGGTTAGTTGTGTATCTTTTACAGGACGTTGCAGAACCAACCCCTCGCAAATTTACGTCCAGTAGTTTGCCAAATGGTCTTTTTGAACCACTGTCGAAACCAACGCAAGGCGCATAAGCTGTATTTACGAAGCGTTCGCATCGACTTAGCCACAGAGCCGACAAAGACGTACCTTGAATAAAGTGTCGAATGCTGAATTAACAATAGACATCACAGCACTCGGGACACCCCTATAAGAGTCTCCATCTTCAGCTGCAAGATAACTTTCAATAGAAAAAAACAATGCACGCGGTAACTTACCTTGAGATCTCTGAGTTCTGAAAATGTGTCCACGATGATACCAAAGATGATGTTGAGTCCGATAGTGGTGATGAAGATGAAGAATGAAACATGGTAGAAGACGACGATTCCAAACTTCTCAAATGTTTTCTCGTTGTCATGGGGCTTCATAATCTGAAGTCAAGAAAGATTTTCTCATTACCTTTGAGGTTTCGAACAAAGGATCAACGTCATGGCAGACGGGTGTAATCCATAAGTGCTCCGTTCTTCTTCTAAGTCTGAGTCCGAAGAAGCTCAGCACAGTGCACAGGCTCTGTAGCACCGACGAGGATTTTAAAATATTTTTGTGTAGATTTTAAACTCCAAATTTTTTCCGGGCAGCGCCGTTTGGCTACTCTTTTCCAACTGCCGAGGGATTTTTTTTTACGTGCGCAACAATGCATACGGGCGTCCGATCTGACTATCCAGAGTCCAAGTGGAATTGCCATAAGTCGTAGTGAAAAAAAAAAAAACCCAGCCCTTACCGGGGACTTAATCCGAAACCTCTAGCACTCGAAAAGGTTTTGTTATCATGACTGGAGTTTTATAATTAGAAGTAAATAATGATTGTCTCCTTATCTCGCTTTGTAACCTTTAGTAAAGAATGGTTTTCTCATTGTCATGGAACGTTATGATTTGAAGGGAAGAAATATATTGTCATTGTAATAGGGTTTCATGATCTGAAATAAGGAACGACTGTCTCAGTGTCATAAGGCTTCAGGACTTCAAGCCTATTTATTTATTTGTGGGACCTGTCTAGCGCCTATCCCTCAACTTTTCACATTCTAGCGTTTAATAATTTTATTTATCTTCATATTATCTATAGTGCCGTTCTGCTTTGCAGCATCAGGTTTTGAGGAAGCATCTGGTGTGAGCCTCAGTATGTGCCACGTAAGTGTTGCTATTCATAGCGTCGTAAATCCCATCTGTCCATCGGCTAACAGAGCGGCCTCTAGTTCTACTTCTTTGTGTCTGTGTGACGTAGCTCTTAGGAGCTCTCTATCTTATGATAGTCTTAATACATGTCCGTATCATTTCATCTGCTGTCCCTTGATGTAATTTAGCACTGGTTCCTTTCCGGCGTCTATTCTGATATGCTTATTTAGAACTGCATACAACTTTCCATTGTATCAGTTAATTATATAAAAGAAAGATAAAACTGTCACTCATCATCATCATAATCATCATCATGTATCAGGTCCTTTGCAGAACGTCGATCTCATCACAGTCTTGCTGAAAGAAACTTGGTCTCTCGCCAGCTCTCCCGCCTCATATACTTTCATACTCAAGGAGTCACTTATATCCTGTGCCCATCTTCGTGTTGGTCGGCCCCTGCCCCTCCTTCCTGGTACCATGCCTTCTGCTATTACTTTTTCCAATCCGTCGTGGCACTTGATATGACCAAAATATTTCAGCTTTCGAGACAGGATGCTGTTTATTAGCCAGTCTTCCTTGATGTTCAGATCTTTCAAGATGTCAGTATTTCTCCTCTTCTTTGTTCTAGGTGTTCACTACTGTCTGTAATTATCCCTTTTTAACGCGATCAAGACAAGGGGTTGTGAGCCTGAGGATTTAGGGCCGCATGGCTAGTGCTGTCTCCACGGACTGGGCAGGTGAGGTTGTTTAATTTTGCCCTCTGACAGAAGAACTCCAACACTTTTCCGGGGTCAAACCCGGGTCTCCCGCACGAGGACTGACCTTGTAACGGCTTGGCCACTCACTCCAAATAAACGACACAAAATGGCAGTCACCAGTTACCTCAAAGAGATCCCCGATGAGACCGTACCGGATGACGGTGACTGTACACTGCCAGAGTGTATTGCAGTACAGGTAGTCATTTGGGTTGAACATGCTCCTCATCAAAGCGAAGCCGATCATCCCGTACAGGTAGAAGATCACCAGACCTAGGACTCCAACCCACAGCAGCGACTTCCCTGAAAGGTTGTCAAGAGTGTATGAAACAGATTATTCTTTCAGACATGGCGAGAAACGTCTTTATTTTGTTAAAGAACGAAGGAAATAAACTAGAGTAAGCTGAACGTAATGTAAGGTTATATGAAGCAGAGTAGGGTAAGGTGATGTTGAATGTTGTTAAAAAAAAAAAGGAAAGGTCCCTTTACCACGTCTTTAGGCGTATATAGGGCGACGCTCGTCACTGTGCACAGAAGTAATATGAAGTATAATTAGGTAATGTAAAGTATGGTAAAGTTATAAAAAGGAGCATAACATAATGTGTAGTAAAGAAAGCTAAAGTTATGTCAAATAAGATAATGTAATATATAAAATTTTATTCTACATCGGGTCTCCGGAACCCGCATGGATAATTCCACTGCCTCCTATAAAAAAAAGCATGCCGTAAAAGTAGTCAATCTGGGAGCTTCGGTCTAAGCTAAAGTGCGTCTGCATGAGAGGCAAAGAATTAACAGTTTGCATACAAATAAGTCAGATTCATAAAACAGAGGTGCACGCAAAATTTAAATTCTGGAACAAGACTAAAATCCAGAAGTGGATGAACGACCAGAACTTTCCGCCAGAGTTTACAGGTGGTGAAGGCAAAGAATGGGAAGTAAAGCAAATCAAAGCGATATGTTGAGTTGAGTTGAGTCAAGAATTGACACCACAGTACTCGGGGCAGAGTTCCAATACTGATGGTACCGGTCACAATCTGGTTACACGTCCGTCTTGCCTTTCCTCTGAGTGTAGTGAGCCGGCCAGACCCTTTGGTTACACCCAAATACCTCATTCTCTCCAGGCCATAATAATCTTCTATCTCTACTAATTCCGTTGCTTCTTCCCAAAGGGCCTTGACCACATCTGCCTTGTCATGTATCAATTCACCACCCAGTGGTGCAGATCTAGCCAATCTGTCTGCTGAAGCTTGTTAATATACTTTTCGTTCGGGTTTATATCTTTTCTTGATATTTTTAAAGCTTCACAACAGTTCATTAATCTCACCCAACTAGTGTGACCCGCCCGCCCAGAACTGCTACTATCTGTTTGTACCTGTCGCACTCGTCCATATTGTCCATTATTACGGTTGTTATTATTTTTTTTTAAATATATTTTTAACACACTTTATTATTCAATATTTTTATTATTAACCTTTTTCATCCCTTTTTGTAAATTATCGCTAGCTTTCTCTCCTAGCCGCCCATTTGCCTGAGTAACAAACGACCTGGCCGGATCGAGATACCACCTAAGTGATTTTGTGTATCTATGTAGTATTGTTTAATTTGTACGTGCTGATGAAGGCTCAATAGCGGCAACGTTCACGTTTGTTTGTATATTGTTAAGCTTGCTAATATACTTTTCGTTCGGGTTTATATCTTTTCTTGTTCATTACCCACCACGCCGGTATTGCCTGGAGAAAAGATCTTAAGTATGATAGCTACCCGTGACATTTCCAATATTGCATAAAGTAGTGTAAAGTAAAGCCGCGTCACGCATTATTTAAAAAATAAAGCTGTCGTACTGTAATGTTATGTATCATATAGTAAAGTAAAGATAGCTAAAGTATTATAATGTAAATGAATGGCAAGCACAGGTTGCAAGTAAGTTTTTTAGGGCATTAAAGACACGTACGCAGACACATTATATACATCGTAGGGTCTGGCGCAGTCTCAAAGCATGGTGTCCGCTCCGCTACAGGTCTCGGGTTCAAGCCCCGGTGAAGGCTGGGATTTTTTCACGTAGATTTCTCTGGGTAGTAAGACCGGACACACGTTTGTATTGTTGCGCATGTACAAAAATCCCTTGGCAGTTTGAAATCGAAAAGAGTAGCCTAACGGCGCTGCCCTGGCAACATTTGGAGTTTAAAATCTATCCAAAGTAGTCCAGGATACTCGCCGGTGCAACAGAGTTCGTGCACTGCTCTGAGATTCTTCAGACTCAGGCTTGAGTTAGAAGAAGAACTGAGCTGCTATGGGTTACACGCGTGTGCCACGATGTTGATCCGTTGAATAAACATAAACATTATACACATCGTATGTGCCTACGAATCCGTTGTAAGGTTCCCTTTACAAGCCACAGGTTCATTGAGCATATTAGACTAAAGTCATATGTGTTTAAATAGATCTCGCTGGATGATGTGATCTTTACTTCCTTTAACTGTACCTGGTAACCATCTGAGGGTTAAAGTAACGTTAATCTACCCAAAAAAGTAGGTCACTTTTTATTCACAAGTTTGTTGGGCTGGTCGACTTTCCTAAAGGCTATCGGTGTATACCGCTCTATTGTTTGATTTTTGGGTTGTCTTGCATTTACGTTTTCATTCGGAGAAAGAGAATGCCTGTGACATAGGTTTTTGGCTGGTTTTGTTAGTGTCAGTTTCTTTATGCTTTTGGAGTCTTGAAAGCGCTGGCGTGCTGAAATATACAACACGCGATATCAACGGCATTGCGAAACACCCTTGTAGCCTTGTGCCAAGATAACAGGTTCAGGAACTATCAACCAGAAGTGAGCTAGTGTGTATATGGGCCGGACGTGAGGAGATTAACGTTACGTGTACTCTATTTAAGTCTAGGTCGACCTGGGAGCTAAGGTCATAATCAAAACAAAAACGAAAATCCGGCTCAGTACGAATTTGAACCGACGAAAGTCAGATCCGCAGGCGAGCGTTTAGGCACTACACACGGGCGGCACTCAGTCAAACGTGAAATAATCAGTATCCCCCACCTACCGTTCTGGGTCACTGCATGAATGACTCCACTGAGAAGCTGGTTGTTGTTGACGATGTTCAGAAGATGGAAGGCAAAAAAATACCCGTTGGAGAAGGTTCCACCGATGGACATTGCTAGAAATACCTGTAGGAAAACATTTTACTTTACTGGTTAACGAAATTTTGACATAGAACTCGAAAGAAGCCTTCTTCTTCGAATAAACGAACGAAAGAGATACTTTTTTTTTAAAGGTTACAAACTGGGCACGCAAGCCCGTCTTACATTTGGCCCTTGCAAAGACTTATCTTTCACATAGTGATCTAATTTTATCTGTGAAGCATGTTATGTTTATAAAACAATATACCTAAAATAGATATCAAGTCACATAAACAAAAGTATTAGTGGTAGATGTATATAAGGTCTGATAATTAGGTAAAAGACCATATATGAAGCAAAGTATGGAATCCAAAGATGCGACCTTCATATATTATTTATCAACTTTTCATCGACACCCAATAAGCAGACAACAAACAAGCCTCCATTTTGTTGACCTAGTTAGAGGTGCATTGTTACGTAATCAGCATGGAGCAACAAGTTAACCCAGATTCACATACACACACACACACTAACATATGATTCACATGCCTCCCCATAACACAATATAACACAGTCGCCTGGAAAGACGGAAAGATGACAACAACTGCATGGTAGACGGCTGCGCAACATGAGACTTACTGCATAGTAGAAGGTTGTAACACTGAAGAATCTTGCATCGAGCTTGGAAACATGCTTTCTCTTCTTATCCTCCTCTTCTTCGTCTTCTTGCTTCCTCCTCAGTGACAGCTTTCTGGAAAGATTAATGATAATGATGGTTCTATAGGCTGGATAATGATGGTTCCATGCTGGAAATGTTTGAGGACTACTAAAGAAGTGGAAAGCTACATTCACTGAAAACTAAATGGACGAGAACACTTATGAATGAATTATTTCACGAAATTTGGAGAGATCCAAGAAATGTCTGGATAGTCGCTTTATAAGACACTTTGAAATGTTTGGATAGCCGATTCAAAAGACAAAGATGTGTTAGGAATATTATCAAGAAACGCCGACAGATGCCAAAACAGGTATTGCGAGGGGAAGCAAATGTGTTCAGGAAATGAGTACGTTCATGAGAACATTAAGTCAAATATTGACGAAAAAAAAGAGGACGGGGGGGGGGGGGGGGTATATACTGTACTGGATCTTCTTTATCCTGACTTCCTCTGTTATTGTAATAAACCTTGGCTTGACTTGGACTGCGCTTTGGCTTACTACTTATTGGCTTTAGCCACGGCTCACTCTCTGGATGTTACTGCTACACAACTTGCACTGCTTTAACGTCTAGAGTTGACAACACAAACGCCGCTCAGCTTCTTGGTACATTCTGTCTTTATTCTGGTCCATTTATTTTCACATGTTCAAACGTTATTCACACTTATCATTCGCGACATATTCGAACATTAAACATTTGCGCAACATTACATCTTCAAATACTACAACCGTCTTCTCTGACTTCTGATGATCGACTGGACCTCGAGTCTAGCTCGGGCTTTTCCTCGCTTCCTCGACTAGGCACAAGTATCTCGTGCTGTCCCTTGTTGCACGGACTTCTGCTTGCCACTATGTAATCGTGAGGACCATGCAAAGCAGGGTCATTACATCCTCCCGCCTTTTAACAAAATGATACTTTATGGAAACATCAAGTATCATTTTCCATTCAACTTTTAAATGAATCAATGGCACTAAAATCTAACTTCGCTATTCGGGATTAGTGTTCCTAATTAGCCTAAATTACTGCCCTTATTTTAATTTTCTACTGTATGCTTTTTCTAGTACTGAATGTGAAGGGTATCTATCTTTGCACGTATTGCAACTTTATAGCTTCGTCACTATATCTATTCTATCAGGTTTGAAATGATCAGTGTGATGATGGTGATGATAATGGTCAACTTTGATATATTTACTACAGGAATAATAAATCAATTTAATGTTATTACTGCT